ACCCCCCCCCCCCCCCCCCCCCGCGATGCGTGCCTTCCTCCATCTCCCACAGTCGAACGGGATGTGGCGGAGTCTTATATTCATTGAGTGGAGGAAACTCTATCTCTTTCATGTCTATTTCTAGCATACTACCGTAGCAAATATGCATACCATCATCGTAGGTGCTACAGCACGGGCCCGGAGATGAGAACGTCAGAATCGGGTCGACGCTCAACCCCTTGTTTTGCGTCGGAGGACGAGCCGAAGTCGTCCATTTTCTTTTTTAACATTTCTCATTTTTCCTTTGGACTGTCGCATCCTCCTGGTTCTGTTATTTCTCATTTTCTTTAATTTCTGGCTAAGAAGATGCATACAACAGCACCAAATATTCATGCAGCAATGGGTAAGGCAGCCCGCGGAGGCGCCGAGTAGCTAAATAGCGCGGAGGTGGGGGGAACAGCGCCAACAATCACTCTCACCCCCTACGAAAAAAAAACGTTGTTCAGCTAGGTACGGGGGGAGTGGGAACACGGACGGTGTAGCAGTGGAACGTGTCATATTGGATACGCTCCCCCAGCAACTCTTGTTTCTCATGCATTGGGGGCATCGCACGATCATGTTTCTTGCTGGGACGTTTCTTATGTTGTGGCCGAGATTGAGCTGTAGTTCTTAAGTCATTTTATCGTATTTTTCGAAAAAAGCTGAGCCTTTTTTTCTTACCGGAATTTTTCTTCATTGCGAGCCCGTACTGGCAACAACTACAGGGGCATCTCGCTGCTCTCGCATGTAGGCAAAGTACTCGCCAAGACCATCACCAACCGCCTGAGCGCATTCTGCGAAGCCAACGAAATCCTCCCGGAGGAACAGTGCGGGTTCCGGCCTGGCCGATCCACGGTATGCATGCTGTTCGTTGTGCGCCGACTCCAGGAGCTGGGGCGGAGGAGGAGAATCCCGCTCTACATGTGCTTCATCGATCTGCAGAAGGCATATGACTCGGTGGACCGGGAGCTACTGTGGAAGGTGCTGGCCCGGGCCGGGATCCCCGGGGAGATGATCGCCGTCATCCGCAAGTTCCACGTCGGAATGCGGGCCCGGGTCCGCACGGACGATGGGGAGCTATCGGACTGGTTCCCGGTCACGCAGGGATTACGACAAGGGTGCTCAATGTCCCCACTGCTGTTCAACGTCTTCTTCGCAGCGCCTCTCGAGATCATTGTCACACGGTTCAGCCAAGATGAGGTTATCGTGCGGGACCTAGTGTACTTGAAGGAGGAGGAACGGAGGGGGGAGGGATTGCTGGACCGAGTCCGGAGGGCGGTGTGGGGGATGCTATATGCCGACGATGCCGGCGTTGTGTCGAAGTCCGCCGACGGCCTGGCGAGGATGATGACCATTATCGTGGAGGTGTTCCGGGAGTTCGGGCTGACGGTGTCGGAGAGGAAGACGGAGACCCTGGTGATGCGGGTGAAGGAGAGACAGCGACCGCCGCCGCCGCCACCGCCGGTGCTGACCATCGAAGCAGCGGGGCAAAGGTACGCACAGACGACCGAGTTCCGATACCTGGGCGGCCTCGTCAACGAGCAGGGCGACCTTACCCGAGAGATCAACCACAGGAGCAAAGCAGCGTGGGCGTGCATTAAGCGATACGCCACGGAGCTCTTCGACCGACCGGGAGCACCGTTTCGCCTCAAAGCCCGCCTGCTCCAGGCGGAGGCAGTGGAGGCACTGCTATACGGCTGCATGACATGGTCCCCACGCCGCAACCACTACGGAATGCTGCAGACGACACACCACCGGCTACTCCTGCGAGTCATCGGCTACCGGCGCAAACGAGGCACCTACCGGCAGCTGTCATACGCCCAGGCGCTAAAGAGGGTCGGCTGCCAGAGCGTGGAGGCCACTGTCCGTCAACGGCGCCTGCTCTTTGCGGGGGCCGTGGCAAGACAGCCGGACGGGCGGCTTCCGAAACGGCTGATGTTCGGCGAGTTGGTGGGAGGGGAGGACCCGGGCCAGGGAAACCCGGAGCAGAACTGGCTGACATGCCTGAAGGACGACATGAAGATGTTCGAAGCCAGGTACGGCTCCACGACCGACAAGCCGAGCGTCTTCGGAGTCCCGAAGTTAGTCTGGAGTGAGGCGGCGAAGGTGGAGGGGGGGGTACCGTGGCACGCGGGGGTGCTACAGGGAGCTGAGAGGTTCATGGCCTCTTGGCACAAGGGCAAGGAGGAGGCCAGCCGACAACGAGCCATCAAACGAGGAGACAGCGGGCCCAAAAATAGTCTAGATACGGCACCAATCAACGGGGCGGTAGGGGGGCGGAAGGAAACGGCGCGGCGGGAAGAAAGCAAGCGAGAAGAGACCGACCGCGTGACGTGACATGTTGCGGTCGAATTTCAACGACTAATTTTTCTGTTGCCCTCTCCCCCGTTTGCTGTCGCGTTCAGACTGTCTCTAGGGATATCCCTGTCTCTGTGCGAGTTTGTTTGTGTCCTCGTCTTTGCTTTATTCTGTTTTATTTTGTCTTTTGTTTTGTTTTTTACTGGCACGTACCCCCGCCCCTTCCTTTGGCCGTCGACCTGCCTCCATGTAGTGGGAGGCTACCCCCCCAGGCTGGTGGTGCGGCCGTTCCACTAGTCTAATTATTTATTTTATTTTATTTTATTTGTTTCTGATTATATTTTGTTTTCTTGTATTTTATCGCTCTGCTGACCCTTGGGGTCCATTTTATTTTGGTATACCTTTTCTAGGTACGTTAGCCTGTGACCACGGAAATTGGCCGAGTCAAGTGATGGATTAGTACGGAGAGATTGAGACAGAAGGAGGTACTGGATAGAGAGACCGGGATGGATTTTAATGTGAAGACAACAACAACAACAACAACAACAACAACAACAACAACAACTGTAGCATCGTAGGCGTCTAGAATGAAGAAATTTGTTTAAACAACTAGTTGTCTATTTATTCAAAGTGAAGGCACAACAACAGCAACACTGTAGCAGACGCCAGCTGCCCTTCGTGCTAAAAACTTCGTGCTAAAAAAATCTTCCCACGTAGGGTCGAAAATGGCGGAAAGGCTGTTCGCACTAAATAGTAAACGTGAACTTTCCGGAACGCAGGCTAGTCTAAATCTGAAACTGTGGATCATCGCACATAAATTGTTATTGGGTATTGTTTTGGCCTGTGGCTGGTATGTTGTAGCGTACCCTGGTAGCCGCGCCCTACACTAGAGACGACGCAACGCGAGCTGTCAAGGGAGACATCCGCTGGCCATGCTCCGGAACAAAAAAAGTGTGGGGCGGAATGCTCCGGTCGGAACGTACTGACTAGACTATACAGAAGTTCAGAGCTGTGTGTATCAAAAGCAAGCGAATGTGTTTGTTTGAAGCTCTGCCAGAAATGTGGCGTTTTGGAAATATGTGTGACTTTTGGCTTTCGACTCCAACAACTGCAGCTACTGCTGTGTTGTGGCTTTTGGGCTTTCTTCAAAGTCCGGGGGGCGGCGTGCTGGATTGGGTATCATCACACAAACAATCGTAAACCTTTTAGTCGCTACTTGGCATCTTCTACTGCTAGACTATCCACATGCATATGTGCGGGGCAGCTTGCCCTCTTAAGGAGCCAAAAGGAGCCTCTATTTAGTACCTCAAGAACAATTTTACGGATTGTAAGTCTCAAGTTCTGTTTGAAAGAGTTCGACGATCCAAGAGGCAACATGTACCCTCCCTACCGGCGGCAGATGCAGCTTCTCTATTTACACGCCTGCCACTGCTGGAATAAAAGCCTACCTCGTTGATGATCTCGATAGGCACCCCGAAGAAGGTCATGTTGAAAATGGCACCGAGTACACCGAGGAGCGTGCTTGTATTGTCGAAGAAAAGCTGGCTCATGCAACCCCATTCAACCCCTCCAAAGGACAGGTAGCTCATCATGGACTGCGTTTGGGTACCCACACACACGCAGAAGGTGGGTTGATTAAACGAAACGGCGGCAGATTTGCAGCGAGAAACAGGTCATCACGTGTGAGGCAGGTAACCGCCCGAGATGAACCATGTTCCAGATAGGATGCAGCAGGCGCTCGTGTTAATGTGCAACCTGCGCCCAAAGAACCATGTCTGCATCATCAGATAGAACAACCTCTGCAGGCTACGCTATGCATATCACTCTTGTAGTTTGGGTTCGTAGCCAAAGAGCAGCTTTGATATATTTCACAGATTTAAACATGCACGTCGGAATGTCGGGTCGTCTGCTTCAGTTATTTCTATTGTTCGCTGTATATTTGCACTCTATTTGCACTCACCGCCATCGCTAATCCGGGGCAGAGAGCGCAGATGCTTACGAGAGGTCTGAGATCCTGGGGATAGGAGGACGGCTAGCCCTGCAAGGCTATTTTTTCTGCTGCCCTGCAGACGTCACGACGCGGAACTTTTTTTTCAGCGAGACTGTCAGTGCCATCCAACGATAGCACCACACGCGTTATGTATTGCGTACGTTACGGACCGACGCGGAAAGCGCTACTGCTTTACAAGAGGCGGCTGGGGTAGTTATGCCTCGTATTTGTGAGCATGTTGTCAAAAATCAGAGGTCTGGGATGTTGGATAGGAGGGCGGTGAGCCGATGTTAAGCCTAGTTGAGCTTTCGGCTTTCTGCCCTCTGAGGAGACGTTATGACATCATGATACGGAACTTTCTTCAGTAAGACTGTCAGAGAGTATCCAAACGAAGGATTGTTGTTGTTGACAGGGTGGGTGGGTGGGAAAATTCGATCAAGTCCCAAACGAAATCTCTTTTCTCTCGCTGCTGCTTTGCTGCACTGCCTTTGCGGGGGATGTNCCAAAAGCTTCTGCCAAACTCTCTCTCTTCTTTGTACCCTGTGTATAGCTATACCCCCGTGTACCACTTATTATCTCGCCGCTCTTCCACGAAATTTCCGGAACGCTTCCACAAACCACGGATTCACGGTTGTACCGAATCCTTCGTTTTGTGTTTTGCTCAAGACATTTGGATTATTAGAAAAAGCGACAAGAAATCAGAAACGCCGAAACACGAGAAATATCAAAACAAAATCCAACCTATGAGCCGAACCATTGACTTCCTCTCGGACACACTAGGTATGACTTATCGGGCCAACCCGGCGTCTATGCCCAGGTCATATCCCATTGCGCGGCCCGATATTCGGCGCTCTTGTCCACGCTATTTCTCCCCTTCAGGTAGACGCTAGTGCGCGCGATACATAATTAGCGCCTTCGCCTCCTGCCCTAACGTACGTCATAAACGCTCCTGACTTCCACCTCCCCGCCCTCTGAATCTGAATAACCGATGCGCCCTGCTTTGCTAGTTGCGTCGCACCACCTATCCTCCCTGAATGCAGCGCGAAGTGCGTTGGGTTTTCTCCTACTCTTCTCGCCATGTCTCTCAGCGCTGCTGTTGCTTCCGACCTTGACACTACTGCCCACCGTCCCTGCTTGACCGACTGCATGAGCGGCGCAGTACTTCCTAACTCTGGGTGCACGTCAAGCAGATTCAGCAAAATCTCTAGCGCCCCTATCTTCTCAGCCATCTGTCCCCCTTCCTCGTCCCGCATTACTCTCTCTCTCGTCACTACCGCGCCTCGCCTCTTTTGGTCCGCTTTCGATGCGCGGAAAGTCACCTCTACTCTGTCTGCCCGCCTTCTTTCGTCCCACGCTAGCTGACACGATCCTTCGAAGAATACGAGGTTCCCTCTCGTGAGACAAAAATCGGCGTGTACTAAGCCGTTGTGGTAGGCCCACAGCTCAGACGCTCGGCACAGCAAGAAATACGAGAGAGCGATCCCCATCCACGTCACTAGTCTGAAAGCATCCGTCTGCGCTCTTTCTCTCCCCGCTATGATCATCGGCACGGTGAGCGGTTGCCTTACCAACGGTTTAGTCTCTGCCCTCGCATGCAGTCTGTCTATTGCGTTCCCAACAGCTACCACTCTGAAGTGCGACGTGGGCAGCTCCCAGCCTGCGTACAGTTTATGGAAATACTTGATAGCCGCGAGGTATCCCTTCACCGTTTGGCTCTGGTTCTTGTACACTAAGCATCTCGACGCCATAAACACAGTCAGCTCTCTTACTGCGCTATCCACGCCGTCCTCCTCGTACAACCATGGACTCAGATTCGCTTTTGCTCTTTCAGCTGTCCACGTGTCCCACTTGCTGTGGTATCCTTTCAGCGTGCTCGCGTTCAGGGATCCGTGCTCCATGATCCTGAGGAGCCTTTCGCCTTCGTCGCTCGTTCCCTTCGTCCCGTGTTCGCTTCCTGTACTTGAACACATTAGAGTCATTGCACCTTCTTTAGTTCTTTTGCTCATCGTTCTCTTCTTTCTCTGATCACGTCTTCTCTTTACACACTTGCCATGCGGCTCCATACGAGGCCATCCATTCTTTGGTTCTGGAGTTTCTCTTGCAGTATCATTTCAATTATTTCTCTTCCGGTGTCTCCGATGTCTTGCATTCGCCAGTTATTATCATGCGTGAGTCTTTCCACATTGACTGCTACGTCCTCTGACTTCCATCTAGATATCCCGTCCGCGAGGGTATTCTCGCGTCCTGGGATGTGTTTCGCCACGTGACACCATCCGTTTTCAATCTCCATGCGGCCAAGCAGCCTCATGAGCAGTCCCGCTCGCCTGTCTCTCGAGCCCCCGCATCTGTTCACCCATGATACCGCCGACACATTGTCTCCCCTCATCATGATAGCTTGTCCGGGGTGCGTCGGCTTTTCTCCCACGACCATTTGGACCACCCAGCATGTCATTATCATTCCGAGCAATTCTAGCGTGTTGATCGTGATTGCGCTGGTTTCTTTGGCTTCTGCTTTCCTTTTCAGCTCCGCCGTAAACGCAGGTTTAAATCGATACCGCCAGAACACTTTTAGTTCGGGACAGTGTCCGCCTACTGCGTCGAAGCTAGCATCCGATAGGTAGTGACGGAAAGGCGTGCGTTGGACGTGGTTAAAGAAAAACGCGCTAAGCGACTCTCCTTTCTCCGCGAGTTTAACTTCCAGCGCCCATCTCCAGAAGTCTAGGTCTCCGTGGAACTCCCAACCGAGACGTACCTGCCTCTTCTCTCTCGACTGTCTGTTAGTCTTGTCGTGTAGGCCGGTGAGGCGTAGGAGGTGCCATACGAAATATTTCCCTGCCCTCATGACGTACGTCAGGTTCCAGAGTTTTCCCGCCATACTCAGGACTTCTTGCACACTGGCGAATTCTCTGGTCTGTGGCCAATCGTTCTCTAGTGCGGTCCTTATCGCGTCGATCCTCTCACGCGTTGTCGCAATCGTCATTTGATGGGTGTCTATCGTGTGTCCGAGAAAGTTCACTTTCGTGTTCCAGTCTGTGCTTTTCTTCGGGGCGAGAATGGGCGTTTGGCCCGCCTCTGCTGGCCCGAAGAGTCTCACACAGTCAGACGCTAATGACGCAGAGGCTACCAGCGCTGAAGCGTCGTCTGGCGCATGTTGTACTTTCACTAAAGCGAAATCGTCTACGTACACCCCGCACGAGAAATCATCGTGTGGTCCGCCTCCGTCATGCGGTTTCACGTTGGCATCTCGGGGCACTCTGGTGGGTGGTCCGTGTTCCCACGGCTCGACTATTTTTACATGTGACATCATTTCGATCCCTTCGTCTACTAGTTGTATGTTGTGTACGTTGGTGTTGCGATGAGAGTGTTCAGCAGCGGACGCCATGACTCCCCAAAAACCGGGCGAGCCTGCCCACCCAAACGTCAGTCTGAAGTCAGCGACTAGTACGTCTCCTATCACATAGCAGAATTTTTGTGCATCGTCTGGTGCAACTCTCACGTTTCGGTAAGCGTTGTTCACGTCTGCCGTAGACACTAGTATCCTCTTGTCAGGCCATTTGACTCTCAAACGCGTTATTTCAGAAAGGAAAGCAGGTAGAGTCTCTCCGCACAAACAGTCGGGTACTTCTTCTGTTATGGTGTCTACATTGACTCCTCCCTTCTGTCCGCGCAGTAGTTTGGGGTCAAAAGAAAAATCGTTGATGATTCTGATTTTTTTTCCTACCACAGCTCCTAGCGGCGATACGCGAACGCCCTTCATACGAGCTGCGTCCGCTACGTTGAATACGAGGCATCTGTTCTGTTCGATGTCATCTGTCAGTTTCTTCCACACCAGTTCCGTGTGTGCTTCTATCGTACTGTGATTTCCGTATCGGAGAGCGCTCTCGAGGTTACGCGGGCTGTCGTGCGTTTTCGCTGGCACACCGTTGTCTACGATGTCTATGAGATTCGATAAGTCTGGGAAGTACTTTTTGGTTCCGAAGTGTTGTTCGAGGTAGCTCAGGTTTAGCGGCGGTGACACCAAGGTGCCGCCGATTGCCCTCGCGACATCTCCCAACTTTCCGTCGTTCGTTTTCAGGAGCATGCTACCCGTCTTCGCGAGTTCGTGAATGATTTCCTGTTTTTCTTCAAGTCGTGTACCACGTACTAGGCATTCCTTTTGTTCTCTCCACATTTCAGCCAGTAGCTTCCCATAAGGAGGTGGCAAGGCTGCCGACCCGTCACTATCCGTGTCCCTCTTGCCGTAGGGATCTTTGTCTCCAATACACGTATTGGGTCTAGCACTCTTGCGATCTTCTCCTTCGTGCGAGGGGCCTGCTTCTCCCCTGTGACAGGGGTCTTCTCTAGTGTTCGCACTCGGTCTTTCTCTGTCTTTGTCTCCAATACACGTATTGGGTCTAGCACTCTTGCGATCTTCTCCCTGGTGCGAGGGGTCT